TTTTTTTACAGGGTTGCCACCTGCGTTTAAAATTATGGTATTTACACTGTTCTCCCGATTTTCAAAAATGACGTGTCAAATGAACCTATACGTGCATATGTACCCTGCAGGGAGTGACGTTAGCTTATACCTAACTTTAGTCTGTTTACGCGAACACTAGTGCTAACTATTAACTGTGTATTTTGTTCGAAATAAGCTGACTACTTTTGTGGGGCGATGGCCGCAAAAAAAGTCAGACCTGGATACCTCTGCATTACATGTCAACTAACTTGTAACTAACTACTTTTGGACATAAAATATCAATAAGAAAAACAAAATATTTTTTTGTTTTTTTACTTTTTTATTTACTTATTTATTTACTTTATTTTATTACATTTCATATTTGTTTACATATTCTGCTCTGGGTGGCCCCATATTCGAACACCGTCAGACATAACTTCAAAATGATAGTATAAAATTTCGATCTTCCTTTTATTTGTCCTGAATATGAAAAAGAATCTGCGAAGTTCAGAAAAAAGTGTATTGAAAGTAATTTTTGTATGAGGATATTTAATAGAAACTTGTAAAGAAAACCAACTCCCGATTGCGTCTGCATGACTCCTGCACGACTTTACAATTCACTTTAAGTTGGTTTTGTCATAGCTAATTAAAAGTGAGGTATTAATCGAAATCTCGCCAAAAAGCTAACTATAAGTTTTAACAATTGATAATTTTTCACTGCAGGGTATGTATGACTATACTTTGGTGCGTTTATTCATATCTACCTACATATTTGCAATATTTATACATATGTACATTGTACAACTATGTATGCATGTGAAAAAAGTTTGTGGATGGTGTTATTATTTTCTTCCATACATGTTAGGTAGAAGTCATTTTCGCTGTTATTCAAACGCGAAATTTTTCTACCCAACATATGCGAAAGCTGTTTGTTTAAAAATATTTCTACACACTTGCAATAATTGTGAGGGCTATTCTCATCTGCAAGCAGAACCGCAAATATTGCTGTTGAATGATGTTCTTCTATAAAGATTTCTGAGAAATACTAACGACCATAATTTCTTGAGAATGCATTCCATTATTGTTAGTGGTATGCACATTATAACGAATTTCTTTCACAATATTAACTAAACTGCGAACAAAACTTTCAAAGAAATCGCTGTCAAATTTATTAATTACAAAACTAAACTTTGAGCTCCTAAAATTTTCAACACTAGATGTTGAAGATAGCAACTAAGCAAAAATATTTGTTTTAATCAGCTTTTATTTACATACGTATGTATGTTCGTATACAAATTCAAGTGCAGAAATTAATAAATATACAGACTCATGTACATAAAATATGAATTATCTTTATGAGTTTTAATTTAAGTAATTTCATGTACATACATACATATTTAAATACATATTTACGAATACATAGATGTAAGTGCGGAAATAAATATTTCTTTAATATGAAATTTCAAACAATATTTAAAAAATAAAACCTTATTTTATACATAGAGGCCGAACCTTTTCATTTGACACCTCATTTTTGAAAATCGGGACGGTGTAAATACCATAATTTTAAACGCAGGTGGCAACCCTGTAAAAAAAATATATCCTTGTTACAAATTTAGAGGGCAAGCCCTTTCATTTAACACCTCATTGTTGAAAATCGGGAGAACGGTGTAAATATCACAATTTTAAACGCAGGTGGCAACCCTGTCAAAAAAATATAATATATCCTTTCTGCACATCCAGAGGCCAAG